CTCAAATATCACGTGCTGAGGTCCGGGTGTTGGGACTAAGTACCCCGGCACTCAGGACTCCCATATGTCAAGTCCCGAGTTCCAATTATTGAATACCGAGGCTTGCATCCAAATTATTTAGTCCCACATATCACTTGGGAAATGCTCAAAATTGAGTATTGAGGTCCGGATCACAATTGGTACATGGTATTCATTTGTTGGAATGTATATAGGTCACAATGCTTGCTCTTTGTTTGATCTTTCACACGCTGTATGGACCATCCACACTAGCCCATCCACATGATGGAACATCAGCATAAATATGAACAGCATCCCTCATATACCATGCCCAAGCAATCCGATCCCCTTCCACATCATACACTCCATGTCTCACAATCTTTCCAGAAAACACAATCATACAGCCGAAATTGTACTTGAACTCCAGCTGAAGGTTTGGCATTGTCATCCGAGCATTAGAATAGTCCCCCACGGTGGTGAGAATGTCGAAGCATTCAGCAATGGACATGTGGTCTCGATGATGGGGGGTTTCCCGATTGGAAATGATGGAGAGGGTGTTAAACACGGATGCCCAGTACTGCAGGGCCTCCGGCATCTGTGGCAGATCCTTGCTTACTGCTATATTTCCAAGGTTTGACAAGGTTCTCAACCCTGCCCAGTACTGCTCAGGATGCATGACTCTGAGTGCCGTGGACGTGATGGCTGCTGGCCTTGCAATGGCTTTGAGGATATTCTCGCAGGAAGGTCCCTTCAATGATGCAGATACCTCCGGATCGGACACATTCTTTGGGATTGGTAAGTATGACTGCCGGAATCACCATCTCATCAGATCCTACCTCGTGTCCCTGTTGAAACCATGCCGGAGATAGATTGATGCATCCGGGAGTTGCTCCAACATCTTCCGAGCCCCGGTTGAACAACCTTTGATTAGTTCGCCAATTGCCATCAGCCCTTACACTTTTTTCGAGGCTTGGAGAGAGCAAATAGGTGGCCTCCCTGATTTCCTTCTGTAGGTTCCATTAATATTCGATATCCATCGAGTAACAATGTATATTACACACCTGGGTGGTGTCTGTCAGGGCGTCTAGGAGATACCATGCAATGATGGCACCGGATGCATCAAGAATTATTGCAGGTTCATCGACCAACCTTTTGCCTTCATGGCCAGGAGGACACCTCTCAAGCAACCTCGCCTCTTTATGTTCATTATGCCCGGTGTCCTTCGGGGAGATCAATTTGCTATATCTTGCAATATCCATCTGCATCTGAACTGTCATGCAGGAATTTGAATGATAAATAGAATTTTCTGAATCTGCAGGAAGACCCACTGGGATTTTTAGATGCCTTTATGAGTACATCAGCCAAGTGATCGCATGCCATCACCAGATCAGTGTCTAGGTTGGGGGAAGGTATGACTGGGCCTCCTCCAGTCTTCTCTGCCTTGAATTTCTGTTCAGTATATTCCCCTGCTTCATAAGTCACAGTCAGGGCCCAAGTGCGCCAGATGTTTATGCTATCAGGAGGGGAAGGGGAAGAACTGTTCATGCTGGATGTCCGGACTTTGGTGTTATAGGGGGTGGAGATAGAGAGGATCAGATAAGGGAGCCATGGATAATTTTGGCTGCTGTCAAAGATGTATTATTATCCATTGCTCAATGAAATACTACCTTATTGGAAGTGTGCTGGTCATCAGATATTCATTTGTCGACTCCCGGGTCCCGGTACTCGGAAGTCGGTACGGTTGACCCATATTTGGGTGGTCGGAATTTGGCGTCTCATAGGGCAACACAAGCTTCGTACTGCCATATCAGGAGATCACCTGCTGCTCCGGGAACTCGGTAACTGTGATTTATTACCTCCTCTGAGTAAGGTTGACTCGCTGGTCATCGGATATTCATTTGTCGACTCCCGGGTCCCGGAACTCGGAGGTCGGTACGGTTGACCCATATTTGGGTGGTCGGAATTTGGAGTCTCGTAGGGCAACACAAGCTTCGCACAGCCATGTCAGGAGATCACCTGCTGCTCCGGGAACTCGGTAACTTTGATTTATTACCTCCTCTGAGTACGGTTGACTCACATTTTGGTGGTCAGAACTTGGCTTCTCGTAGGGCAACACAAGCTTCGCACCGCGGATTCCACATTCTGCAAGACAACCTAAGCACCATCAGAGGCCATGTCAAGAGAGCACCTGCTGCTCTCTTCAGAAACATCTCAACTTCGGTTGGCCATTTAACATGGAAAGTATTAACTAAATTATGTGTTGAGTTCCGGGTCCCGGAACTCGGTACAGTTGACTCCAATTCTGGTGGTCGGAACTTGGCTTCTCATAGGGCAACACAAGCTTCGCACCCCGGATTCCACATTCTGCAAGACAACCTGTGCACCATCAAAAAGTATTAACCAACTTATGTGGTGAGTTCCGGGTCCCGGAACTCGGAACTCGGTACAGTTGACTCAAATTCTGGTGGCCGGAACTTGGTGTCTTGTTGGGCAACACAAGCTTCGCACTGCCATGTCAGGAGATCACCTGATGCTCCGGGAACTTGGTAACTTTGATTTATTACCTCCTCTGATTTGGTTGATGTACAACTACCTCAGCTCCATCATGTCTACAATTATGATACACATGGGCCCACCCATCTATATTGTATACCACCCTTGGCCCACCCATCTAATACAACATCCCATACAACACCCTCGGCCCACCGGTCTAATTAATATGCGTCTGGGCCCACCCGTATAGTACAATATTTTATAATACCCTCGGCCCACCCGTCTAATTTAATATGTGTCTGGGCCCACCCGTGAATGTGATAACAAGTACCTACCCATCTATCTCATACACATCTACCTTAATACACCCATCTGCATAATATCCAGCTACCTTGGCCCACCCATCTACCTAATATTCATTTACATCGGCCCACTCATCTACTCTATATATTCCCTGCATGGGCCCACCCGCCTCCATCGGGAATAATTTGCCTCCCGGCCCATACGTCATAGTCGAGAATATTTTTATCATGGGCCCATGGTCCGCTGGCCCGTATCATACGGGATATTATGCACGTCTGTTCCCTCGTATTATACGGAGATAGGTCACTGTAGTATGTGGATGTATGGCCCGCTCGCAAACCTGATATGGCAAGACTGGTATGTATCTTTCTTGTCATGAGCTCGCATCTCATTCTTTTTTAGTTATACGATGATCTATCAACTTGGTGGTCAGACCTCAAGAAGATAGTTGTTGCCATCACTTCTTCTGTATACACTCTCATCCCGCGTACTGATCTTTCCACTCAGGAGCACGTGAATTGGGTCGAAGCAGCTGCTGCAGACTTGCTGGATAAGTCTAAATATTTGCGTGACGGGAAGGATGAATTGGGGAAGACTAAAAATTTTGCTCACCCTGGACTTCGCAAAGCTGCCATTCTTTTCTTCTACGTAGGGTCTTATCACATCACTCATAGGCGACCAGACATCTTTTGCAAGCAGATACCACTCAATTGTTTAGCTCTCGTCGCTACAGTGGTATCATCTCAATATTAACACTACTGGGAATGTGCTGACACTTTTTTAGTTCAACTGTGTCTTTGATGGTCTCAAAAAAAAAATGGGAATGGGAAGACTTACCCCAATTTTTCATTGAAGGATTACCTGTGCATATACAACAGAATGTTGAGACTACTCGAAGACATTATGAACGACCCTTATCATGGCCCAAAATTGGTGCAGTGGCTTCGTGAGTGGGCGGAAGCAGGATGGTATGGATATGAGGCTTTGCATAGTATTCGACACTAACTAGTTTATCTAGGGCCAAGTTTTGCAAACTCAATGGCACTGACACATCCAAGCACATCCACCTGCAGATAGAGCTTGATTAGAAGGAGCTCCTTGTCTATCGGTCACTAATATTAGCTATCATCGGTTTTCTTTTTCATCATTTTATGTCTCTGACTGTCATGTGATTCATTTGGTTCAATATATGATCATTGTGCGCTATTATACAAGCTCCGCGTTATCTGTGAATGTCTGTACAGCAATATATGGTTATCATTGTGGGCTATTGTACAAAGCTCCGCATTTTTAAAGTTGTCTGTGAAAGTCTGTACAGTAACAATTGGAACTTTTTAAGGGTTTCTGGGAATTGCTAGAAGTATCTGTGAGTATGTGTACAGTGATTCACAAAGTAAGATGTTGCTGTAGCGAGCTGGCAAATAGGGACCAAGCTGTAGAACTGGGACGCTGTACAGAGCCTAGTGATTTACTGATGTAGAGAAGTAGGTGTGGTAATGTACAGTATCAACAGTCCTGGCATGTGGCCTTTGCAATATGAAGTGATTCGTGGTTATAGTACTTACAAGTTACGAGCGTTTGAGTGGGCGGCAGCAGTGGTATGGTTCCGAAGTGAGAGTCTCTGTCATTTGTTGTGACAGACACGCTCTCCTCATGCAGCCCATGCCTTGTTGATGGCTGCAAGCAGTGGGGTGTGTCCCTGCTCGGCTTCTGGGTAGGCTGCAAGGAAGAGGGCTTCATCTGACTGGTAACTGAAGGTGACGAGGAAGAAAGAACAAAAGAATGTGTGAGTGCTGACATGTGGATCGCAGCCGGAAGCACTCACTGGTTGATGAACTTGCACGCAACAATGGCCCTGTTCTGGTACTGCATTGCAAGCTTCCAGTTTGGGCCTTGGTACCACTCCTGCGGCCAGTCCTTGAGTGGTGTCTTCAACCCTCTGTTGGGGTCGCCAATGAGCCAGTGCGTGATGATGTCCCTCCAGGACTCGGCCTTCGGAGTCTTCAACCCGTTCGAATGGACAAGTGGCAGCCGTGGAATGACGAGACCGTTGCTTGGGAGTTGTTGAGTTGAGGCTGTGTGCGCAGCAGCAGATGGCAGTGGTCGAGTAGTTGGAGTGATGTGTGCATGGCCATGGCTCCTGCGGACAGATGACAGAGGACGGGAGTGTGTTGCTGGTGGACAGACATGCTGAGGAGTTGAAATCTGAGGAGACTCTGCACTGGATGCGGAGAGAAGGGTGAAGCGGGGATCTTCTTCAAGCTGTGTTGGAGGTAGGTGTCCAGCAGCCTTCAGGCAACTTGAAGTGGCCTGGACCATGCTGATGAGTGACCAAAGCGAGTCATTGACTGTACTGACATCAACTTGCAAACAATTGACATCTGCGGCCACAGATGCATGAACCATGCGCAGCTCCTCAGTGGATGCTGGCCTCATGAGTGCCTGCTCGCCTGCAAGGGAGGATTCAGCTTTGTGGGAGAAAGGAGTGAGGGCATCACTGTAGTCGGTCTCATAGGTGTGTAGTTCGTCGAGAAGGTAACAAATGAGCGTGTTTCGCTGGGAATAGAATGAACGAGTGAGAGTGAGAAAAAAGTAGATCATTGAAGGCACATACCTGTTCACCATCAGCCCATCCTCCCCACCATCAAACCATGGCAAGTGACCACCGCTGACCAACTGGTGCGAACATAAACCAATACTGGGCACCTCCATGGTGGAAGCAGTGAGTTGAAAAACAGCCTAGGATGCCAGCACCTGTCATTGCCTCGTCAATCCACTTTTTCACAGTGTCATGGGAGAGAGGCTGTCCAGGCTGCATGATGCCATTGGCACCCATCGAAGGGAAGATAAAGTTGTTTGGCCCGAGTGTGCGCCCGTAATGAAAAAACTCAAGCCATTTGATCCAGAGCAACATCCAGATGAAGCTGTTGCAGGAAGGCATGTCTGGGCGGGGAAATATCTTGTAGTGGTTGGCTGGTGTGAGGCACATAAACCACTACATCAGCAGGGTGTCACTTCATGCTAATCTGAATCAACTCACACCTAAGGTCTGCCTCACAGATGCCCTTATCGACCCTTTTCTGCCATCCTTTTTGGTTCAAGAGGAATATTTCGAAATAGGTGTTGCTGTCGCTGAGTGTCAGTGGCTCGTGTGCCAGATACTTTTTCATGACAGTGTCCAGCAGGATTGTGTCGAGCGAGATGTCTTTGTGCTGCAGTTTCACGAGTTCGAAGCACCTACCAAAATGGTAAGTCAGCGAGCGCACATCAATTTCAGCAGGCAGGACAATACCTGCTCCATAAGGTCCATATGCCAGCATCGAAAGTGACCTGTTCAAGATGGCGAGTGAGCTGGGTCCTTGTGTCGAGAGTCAGTTGGACCTGTGAAGGCAGTGTGCCGCTCATCACTAGCTGGATGGCCTGCAGTGCGATCTCCAGCAGGAATGCGGCCTCATGCTATTGGAGCATGTGATCCATGAAGTCTTTGGTCATTGCCATCGAGTGAGTTCGATCTCCGCCCTCTGCACTGGCCTTGTGCTTGACAGATGCCATCACATTGTAAACTTCCGCTGAGTTGGCTGGATTTCCCTCCCAGCGCTGTCTCACCTCATTGAAACTCCACTTTCCACGAAATGTGCCGCCATCCCTGGTACAAGTCAGTACTCCCAGTCTGTACCAGTCCTGCAGGGTGTTGCTCATGCTTGCTCCCAGAGCTTTTGAATGCTGTGCGGATACTTTCAACCATGTTCTTGCTGAGGTTTTTGTGGAACCCCTTCAGGGACATGAAGAGGGCTAGCACCTTGTCAGAGCATCGGTTTGGCATGCACCCGAACACATCTTTGAAGGCAGGATCTGCATACACATCGCTGTCTGGATTGTCTCTAACAAAAGAGGGCACTGACAGTGCCACCGGCTGTACCAAAGGATCTTTGGGCACTGAGCAGTCCCACTTGTCAGCGGAGCAGCTTGGTGCATCAAAATGGCTCGCGAGCCACTCGCATCCCCGGCGTACATGGTCAGCATAGCTGCTCCTGGTCTTGTTTGCTTGGAGGTGCATTTCAATTCCAAGTTCCTTGCATTTCTGGATGTCAGCCAAAGCTGACTTCAGGATAGCTGATTCTTTCCTCCGCCTTGGCTTCTTTTGAATGACATCCGATGCCACCTTTTTTGATCGTGCCATGTGGGAGGTAAAACACAAGACAGAGGTAATTGGTGTGACAGTTCCGAAATTTCAGAGGGTATGATGTCACTCCGTATTTTAAAATTCACTTGGCTCTCAATTTTGATTGACCTGCACTGTTGTAACACATAGTAGACTACACTAGTAAAGCATCACACTGAATTTCAACTACATACTGAGCACAAGAGTGAGTACTGTAGGATACCATCTGCAAAACCAAACACTAGCACATACAGAACCATGATGCTGCTGCCGCAACCCCAAGCTTTCTTGAAGTAGTCCTGCACTCGCACTGAGAGAAGCTGTTATGGATCTGATTCGTATGAAAACCTACCTTGACCATCGTGTTCTCAAACTCAAAGTTTCCAGCATTGGCAACCAATCCTTGGATATTTTCGAGACCTGGCCGGTGGACAAGCATGACAGAAATGCCCTGCCTGAACTGTGGCGAATCTGGGCGGAGGTCCAGTGCATGAACATTGTTCTGCTTGAGAGTGGTGGTCTGAAACCAGTGGACGAGCATGACAGAAATGCCCTTGAAGGAGTTCTGGGCGGAGGTCCAGTGCACAAACATTGTTCTGCTTGAGAACAGCAAGAGTGGCGGTCTGAAACTGGTGGACGAGCGTGACAGAAATGCCCTTGAAGGAGTTCTGGGCAGAGGTCCAGTGCATGAATGTTGTTCTGCTTGAGAACAGCAAGAGCGGCGGTCTGAAACTGGTGGACGAGTGTGACAGAAACACCCTTGAAGGAGTTCTTCAACTGGTAGAACTGTGGCGAATCTGGGTGGAAGTCCAGTGCATGAATGTCGTTCTGCTTGAGAACAGCAAGAGCGGCGGTCTGAAACTGGTGGACGAGTGTGACAGAAGCACCCTTGAAGAAGTTCTTTATTGCTGGACATCCCTCCAAGAATGGGACACTGGGTCCAGCCAATGGATTCCTGCTGAAGCGGTTGAAATGAATATTAGCATTAAAAAAATAGCCCCAAGTCAGATTCAAAAAGCAAGGGACTCAGAGTATGAGTACGTCACACACTGGACATCCGGATAACCTACAAAAGGCTTGTCCGGACATGCGCAACCTACTGAGTTGGTCACATATCACAGTGACCTATCTCCGTATAATACGGGGGAACGGACGTGCATAATATCCTGTATGATATGGGCCAGCGGACCATGGGCCCATGATAAAAATATCCTCGACTATGATGGATGGGCCAGGAGGCAAATTATTCCCGATGGAGGTGGGCCCATGCAGGGAATATATAGAGTAGATGAGTGGGCCAATGTACATGAATATTAGGTAGACGGGTGGGCCGAGGTAGTTGGATATTATGCAGATGGGTGTATTAAGGTAGATGTGTATGAGATAGATGGGTAGGTACTTGTTATCACATTCATGGGTGGGCCCAGACACATATTAAATTAGACGGGTGGGCCGAGGGTATTATAAAATATTGTATCAGATGGGTGGGCCCAGACACATATTAATTAGACGGGTGGGCTGAGGATGTTGTATTAGACAGGTGGGCCAAGAGTGGTATAAAATATAGATGGGTGGGCCCATGTGTATCATAATTGTAGACATGATGGAGCTGAGGTAGTTGTACATCAACCAAATCAGAGGAGGTAATAAATCAAAGTTACCAAGTTCCCGGAGCAGCAGGTGATCTCCTGACATGGCCTTTGATGGTGCTCAGATTGTCTTGCAAATTTTGGAATCTAGGGTGCGAAGCTTGTGTTGCCCTATGAGAAGCCAAGTTCCGATTACCAACCTTTGGTTCAACCATACTCAGAGGAGGTAATAAATTAAAGTTACTGAGTTCCCGGAGCAGCAGGTGATCTCCTGACATGGCCTTTGATGGTGCACAGGTTGTCTTGCAGAATTTGGAATCTGGGGTGTGAAGCTTGTGTTGCCCTATGAGACGCCAAGTTCCAACCACCCAAATTTGGGTCAACCATACTGACTTCCGAGTTCCGGGACCCAGGAGTCAACAAATGAATATCTGATAACCAGTACACTTCCAATCAGGTAGTATGTCATTGAGCAATGGATCATCCAAGGGGTCCCTTATCAGACTCGGTAGTCAATATAGGCAAATGATAATGAAAACATGAAAGTTGTTATTGTGCTATTTTTCAAACCCAAGACCCGAAAATATGTATGCAACATGTCCATTTTTCACTTGTTGCACAAATCACTGAGTTTTGAGTGCTGAAACCTGAAACTCAAAACCTGGCATGCAACATGTTGATTTTTCATTTATATTACACAGATCATCAAGTTCTGAGTGCCGAGGGCCAAAACACAAACCTTGAGACCCGAAAAAATGTATGCAACATTTCCATTTTTCACTTGTTGCACAAATCACTGAGTTTTGAGTGCCGAAACCCAAAACTCAAAACCCGGTGTGCAACATGTTGATTTTTCATTTACATTACACAAATCATCGAGTTCCGAGTGCCGAGGGCCAAACCCCGAACCCCAAAAATATGTGCACAACATGTCCATTTTTTACTTGTTGCACAAATCACCGAGTTTTGAGTGCCGAAACCCGAAACTCAAAACCAGGTGTGCAGCATGTCCATTGTTCAATTATATTACACAAGTCATCGAGTTCCGAGGGCTGAGGGCTGAAACCCAAACCCTGAAAATATGTGCACAACATGTCCATTTTTCACTCACTGCACAAATCACTGAGTTTTGAGTGCTGAAACCCAAAACTTGAAACCCAGCATGCAACATGTTTATTTTTCATTTACATTACACAAATCATTGAGTTCCGAGTGCTTTAGGTCATGTCCATTTTTCACTCATTGCACAAATCACCAAGTGTCAAGTGTCGAAACCTGAAACCCGGTACTTCAAATGGACATGAATTGTATTTGTATGTATTATCCATTGGTGTAGGGCTCAAATAACTTGGGAATTGTATTTGTCAGTACTCAGTACTCAGTGCTTGGTACTTGGTACTTGGTACTCTGTGATTGGTACTCTGTGATTGGTGATTGGTGGTCAGTGGTCGGTACTCGAGACTCAGGTAGTCAATATAGGCAAATGATAATGAAAAATGACAGTTGTAGTCCATGTCAAGGTGAGTGTCTTGGTAGTCTTTCCTTGTCATCCGGCAAAACATCAGCAATAATGAAAAAATGAAAGTTGTTATTATGCTTAACTTCTTTACCAAAGGTTGTAGTCCGAGTCTAGGGGAGTGTATTGGTAGTCTTTTCTTGTCCATCAGTTATCATTTGACTGAGATATAAGCTAAAGAAATCTGAAACATTGGCGATAATGAAAAATGAAAGTTATTTGTAATGATATTTTCGACCTGAATCATATATAAATGTGACTTTGTATAAAAGATGTCTATTGTCACTCTCCACACATACATATGTCATTTTGCCTATCATTACATCAATCCTTCATGAATCTTTCTAAGCTTTTAAGCTATTATAATGGATGTATATGGGTGTTATTCCAGGTCTCTGATCACATCACAGGCTTGTTATGTTGTATATCTCGACATAATGTGCAAGTCTCACTATTAATATTCATTCTTTTATCTTTAGACTCACTTACTGCACACATGTATTTCATTTGTCATTATTGATGTTTTGGATTTCTTTAGCTTATATCTTGGTCACATGGTAACCAATGGACGAGAAAAGACTACAAAGAAACTCACCTAGACTCGGACTACAACCTTCATTAAGCTGACTACTGATTCCTGGATACCGAGTATCACAACCAAATACTGAGTACCAATTACCATGTGCCGAGTACTGCATAATGAGTAACAAGATAACCAATTGACAAGAAAAGACTACCACTACACTCACCTGGACTTGGACTACAACCTTCGGTAAGGAAGTTAAGTGTAATAACAACTTTCATTTTTCATTATCATTTGCCTATATTGACTACCAACCACCAACCACCAACCACCAACCACCAACCACCAACCACCAACTACTGAGTACCAAGTACCGAGCACTGACAAATACAATTCCCAAGTTATTTGAACCCTACACCAATGGATAATACATACAAATATAGAATTCATGTCCATTTGAAGTACCGGGTTTCGGCACTCGGCACTTGGTAATTTGTGCAATGAGTAGATGGGCATGTGGCATACATGTTTTTGGGCTTCGGGTTTCAGGATTTGGCCCTCAGCACTCAATGATCTGTGTAATGTAAATGAACAATGAACATGTTGCACACCTGGTTTTGAGTTTCAGGTTTCGGCACTTGAAACTCGGTGATCAGTGCAACAAGTGAAAAATGGAAATGTTGCATACATATTTTCAGGTCTTGGGCTTTCCGGTGAAATTGTGGTCCCGGATGAACCAGGCAACCTCCTGCCAGAATATGATTCTTCTGATGAGGAGATGGAGGTTGAGGTGAAGGTTGATCGTCCTGGTGAGAAGGTTGAAATGGCTACATAATTGCTCAGTGATAGATGTACATAAATCTTCTTCAATGCATGTTACCTATGCCACAATTGAATGATTCAATCATTGAGTTCCAATATCCAGAACTAGAAACTGTAGATTGAGGTAGATATTACCCAAAACCCGAACACCCTAACACCCGAATGTCAAATTTTCACAGTGCCGAACCCCGAGTGCCAGGTGCTGGGTGCCGAGTCCCAAAACCCAGAACTCAGGACTTGACATTTGAAATGAAACACATTTTTCAGACATGTTTGAATCTGCCTACATATATCCATAAACATTTTACTAACCCCTGAACCCTGACAAATATCTTTGTCCAGTCCCACATATCGAGTCCTGAGTTCCGGGACCCCCGAACCCCAAAACCCAAAACCCAGCAGTCCACAATTTCAGGGTTTGGGGGTTGGTAAAATGTGTATGGATATATGGAAGGTTGATTTAAACATTTTTGAAAGATGTTGCATATGAAATGTCAAGTCCCGAGTTTCGATTTCTGGGTTTCGGGAGTGCTGAGTCCCGAAACACGGAGTGCCAAAGCCTGGAGTCCCGAAACCCGGAATTCAAAACTCAGCACTTGACATTTGATGAGACATCTTTCAAAAATGTTTAAATCAACCTTTCATATATCCATACACATTTTACCAACTCCTGAACCCCTAAATTGTGGACTGCCGGGTTTTGGGGTTTGGGGGTCCGGAACTCGGAACTCGGTATGTAGAACAAAATATATTTCAAACATGGGTAAGTCAATGTGTTTGTCAAGAAACTCAATTGTAAATCAAATTTTATTGATCTCCCCAAATTTCCACAAGTTCAGAGTTCCGGACCCTGAAACCTGAGACCCGGCAGTCTGGGGGTCCAGAACTCAGAACTCGGTATGTAGAACAAAATATATTTCAAACATGGGTAAGTCAATGTGTTTGTCAATAAACTCGATTGTAAATCAAATTTTATTGATCTCCCCAAATTTCCACAAGTTCCGAGTTCCGGGACCCCCGAACCCCGAGACCTGGCAGTCTCGGGATTTGGGATTTGGGGGTTGGTACATCTCAGTTTGGGGTTTGGCACTGAAAATTTGACATATATATTTTTGTGAGTGTTGTGCTTCTGGTGTCCATGCTTATAAATAGGATATGTTGCACACCAGGGTTCAGGTGTGGGGTTTTTCCACTTCAGTCCTCGATTATTGGTCAATGCCACACATGGTCAATTCATGTTTTTGTGCTTAGGGGTTTAGATTTGGTGGTCGATGGTAGGTATATGCACTCATAGTGTACATGTATCCTACGTGTTTGATTCGCTGGTGGCTACATCAGCTGTATGTCTTGATGGAACATATCTAGGCTCACCCATATATGTACCCATCTATGTACAATTCCCCCACATCAGCCCACCCATCTATGCATTATCCCCCACCTCGGCCCACCCGTCTATGTAATACATCCTATGTTGGCCCACCCGTCTATATAATACATCCTATGTCAGCCCACCTGTCTATATAATTATACCCCACCTCGGCCCACCTGTCTATGTAATAAATATTTTATCGCACCCTCGGCCCACCCGTCTATTTGATATCCCTTTCGTTGGCCCACCCATATATGTAATACTTTTCACATCAGCCCACCCGTCTATGTAATATTCCCCTACCTCGGCCCACCCATATATGTAATACACCCCCGTCGGCCCGCCCATCTATATAACAATATTTGCCTTACATCTCTCTTCAGCCCAGCTGTCTATAATATCCTACTCTACATATTACCCAGATGGGCCCACCCATCTCCATGAATGATCATATTCCCCCGGCCCATCCATCAACATCAAGGATATATATATCATTGGCATACATGGGCCCACCCATCTCCATCGGAAATAATATGTGTCCTGGCCCATCCGTCATCATCAAGAATATACACAACATGGGCCCATGATCCGCTGGCCCGTCTCATACAGGATATTATGGAGGTCGGGTGGCCCGTATAATATGGAATTTGTCACTGAAGGGGCTCAGTTGGTTCACCTACAGAAGGCTGGCCAGCTTGGGAAGAGATGATGGAATGTTCCAAGTAGAACTTGAAGGAGGAACAAGTAAACAAAGACTTACATGAAAGACGACTCTGGCAATGATCCAAGGCAGCATCATCATATGATGAATAGTAGTAGTGTTTCTAGATGAGAATGTCAGTCAAAGGTATGCTGAAAAGTTTGATTGTACCTTCTAATCACACAAAACCGCAGTGTTACAGTAGCACACCATGCGGGGGGGGGGCAACATTAACGACCGTCGAGATTTGGACCATTGTAGAAACAACAATACTGTGAGGAGCAAATGATGCTCCTGACTGTATCTAAAAATGTTGTAAGGTCATGCGTTGCCTAGTCTGCATTACTTGAGGAGACAAATGCATTTGACCCTAAAGGGGAAGCGAGTGCAGCGAAGATCTAGAGGTATGCACTGTAATGCGGAGCTGAAGCACTACCAAGTAGGTATGTAGAGATATATATAAGTAAGGGTCCATGATAAAAATAAGGTGGAATAATATACAATGAGAGAAACGGAAATATACGCACTAGAGAACTTGGAGGACAGTGGATGGATAAATCTGGATGGCTGGCACTATAGGGCGCTCAAGCGCGGGAAAGCGCGCGCATATACATTGCGAAGTGCGGGAAGTGTGCGCGGGAAAGCTGCGCCTCATATAGAGATAGCTGCGGGTAGTGCACAGAGTGACACTACAAGTTTGTGCTATGTACTCCCTAGTGAAAACTATGCTGCTGAATCTGCACAAATATTATTGTGCCCCCCCAAAATAAAAAGTGTGCCCCCCCAAAATTGAATTTGTGTGACACCCCGAAAAAGGAAATTGTGTCGCCCCGAAAACTATTGTGTGTCGCCCCGAAATTAAAATTGTGATACCAATATTTGACAGAGTGTATTTTATCATCGTCATGCTCATTTCCACCCAGGCTTACACGAAACAAGTCAATTAAAAGCATTGTAGTAAGAGATAGTTACTATGTACAAGTACCAGAATATAAACAGATATAATAAAGTCAGTGTAAAAGGATTATAATCAGTGCTGTCAATCGGTGATGGGTATATTTCAAGTTGAACGATATAGGTGCCAAAAAAATCTAGAAATTGAAAAGACGATTCCCTTCCCATGGGTTGTCAATGCTGGTATCGAGAACAAAAGACCCAGAGGCCTGCAAGGTTGGGGGGTTATCAAGACTGGGATCAATAACAAAAGATACAGAGGCCTGCAGTGGAGATGATGAGACAGGCTCCAAAGGGGTGAGGTCAGCCTCCACAGGTGCCTCTGGCTCAGCAACAACATCATGATTATCTAAACTGAAAGAACCAAAAAAGTCACCAGTGTATTCGTCATCACTTGCAGTCAAGTCAACTATAGTGGCCGACTCGGATATGGTTTCAGAGTCCGATGCAGGCATAATCTCGTCATCAGTTTCTGTTGATACTGATCACAAAAGTTTAATATGAGCCTCACTCGCAATCAACAGAAAAAAACAATAAACCATACCTCGATGAGATTTGGTCTTGCGAGGGGGCTGTGATAAGCTCGACTCAGATGAGGTGGAGCTGTCTTCTGAGTCACTGGATATACTCTCAGACTCGGTACGACCATGGTATGCTGAGCTAGATGAAAGAGTGGCCTTCTCCTTCCCTTTTGATTTCGCCCACCCTTGCAACACTGACAGTGGGATGCTTTGACGAGTGACTAAGAAGGCAGGAATTGGCATAGTCTGTTTGAAGCGAACAAACTGAGGACTGACCTAGAATAACCACATTTTCACGAAATCCACCTCTCGAATTCATCCTTGCATTTCGTGCCACCGATGACCCATCAGGGAATTGGATACCAGGAGGAATTACGATCCTACGCTTCTCTTTGACACAAAGATAGTATTGGGGCAGATACTGAAAGATCTCGTCTTGGTCCTCCTCATAATCTAGATTCGTCAACTTTGGCAAGGCATCAAGATAAAGGAAGAGCCGAGGGAAAAATTTGCGAAGCTCTAGGTCAAAGAGCTCAAAAGACCAGTTCTTGCTGATGATGATACCATCGACATAATCTGTGATCGCTAGTCTCATGACCTCAAGAGTCTGGACCTCCACCAAAGTTGGTGCTTGGGGATTGCGAAGAACAGGTGTCAGAAGTGGGATGTACGAATGTGAGGTCTTCTTAGACTAAAAAGCAGTCAGCAATCCCAGCCAATCACAGTTATGATATCGACAGCTCACCTGTTTTGTTCCACAGGGAATGAAAATTATTTCGCCAGCTTTAAAGTGGAAGTTAGGAAGGCGAGCTGGCTTTGACTAATAAACAAACATTCCAACAGTCACTTGCCTGAGCAACAACTTGTTTTAAAACATGCTGACACTTACTTTAGAGACCATCTGAGCCTTTGGCCTGCTGTGAGATTGAGAAGCAGACTTTAAGCCTTGATTAGCCTCGCTATTGGCCTTTTGATAGGCAGTTGATGATCCAGCTGAATTACCGAGCAATTCCTGCAAGATGGAATTAACTGCTAGTGTCGAGGTTGACTTTCTAGCATCGTCCATTTGGCTGCTGGCCTGTCGTTTGCGCTTGGGAGCCATATGAAAAATTAAGAAGGTAGCAGAAAGATAAAGGAGTGATTGGTGACAGAAGAGACAGTAGTAATTTTTAAGTGGGCTGTAGATTGTTGTAGTATGACACTGCTCAGTCGTAGTTGAATTCAACCACATTATTCATCACATGATCTGTGGCTGTACATGCTGTATAATTGCATGGACACTTCAAACTTAATATTGTCGACTTTAAGCCAGTCTGCTTGCTTGTATATTGAGAGTCTAGGCACTATAATCGTAGTTAGCTATCAGAGCCATTGTGATGCCCAACACTATCGGTATTACTATCTGTGTCACTACTAGATCCAACATCGGTATTGGCAAGCTCCAAAAGCCTGAACATGACATCGAGTGCTTGACACCATTTTATTGCCCTAGGTCGCCAAATAAAATCAGGCAAGGGGATTCGTAATTCCTTGGTCCCCTGCCATCCTGATCGGATTATTTCATGTGAGGGATACTCATCACCATCCCATTCATGTGGAAGAACACCAAATCCTTCTGGGATGTGTCCTGCCTCTCGTACTTGAGTAAAAGCTTGATGAAAGGTGTTGTGAAGAGTAGCAGAGTTGAATGGACTGGCATGCTTTGGAACACAAACAGGCTTATGGTGGAAATGAGCATCATGATCAGCAGCAATGAGCTGGGGAAGCTCTTGTAGATCTTCTGTTTTGCCACCTGGGTCCTTGAAATCATCGATGTCTTCCCACTCCTCCTCTGATTCTTCATCATCTGATTCTCCATCAGTAGATCCAGAAGCCGAGTATACCTCATCTGAGGGGTGACCTGCTCCAGTCTGATGGGGTGCACGATGCATAGGCTTGCCTGCAGTTCCATAGTACTGTCTGATGATGTCAGGATGGATTCCTTCACAATCATTGGCATATAGCCCATGTTCGAGCTGGCCCATAAGCCTCATATCCTAATGACCACAAAAGAAAAACTTTTCTATTAAGCTGATCATGTTTAAGATATTGGACGACATACATTTGGGCTCTGATCATGTCCCTCTCCTGAGATAGGGTGTGCATTCCATTCAGCTTGAAATGAGCGACAGTCAGACTCAATCTCCCCGAGGAAAAGCTCGTGTAATAGCCAAAGATGCTGAGCATTGGACACATCTAGGTCATGAAGCCTCTCAAGTCGATAGAAAAATGCACGCCACATGCGAGCAAATTGGGTGCCGACTTCAACCCAGGACCGTTCAATCCTGCTGTTGTGAGTCGATCTAATGAGGGGCAGATTTTAACTCAACCAATGTAAGCAATGAAATTGTGTTTACTTACGATCCCCACATAAAGCTCGCATGGTTGGGCCCTCTAGTCATGATCATATAAACCGAGACCTTTTTGTTTTCCCCACCTCTATCTCCTCATATTCTTGAAGGTGTGCCATAGATAGCGACAGCATTCAAAAACACCCTAAGCACTGTGGATGCACTATTGCTTGTGCTGGGATGAATGGCAACTATCTGAAAGTCAATGAAGATCAGATGTAGGCAGCTAGTGGAGAATAATAGCCTACTGTGCGGCAATATCCATCAATGATACCATGAATTACGATGCCCCAACGAATTAGCTTATGGTGCCCATCCATGTGCCACAGAGCATTTGGTCGTGAAACCTTGTACTGCCGCCGTTGAATCATAGTGCGTTGGCGGAGGACAGTTCCCAGGGGATCGACACGGTGGATAGAGGAAATAACCCGTTGTTGCTGTATCCACAAGCCCAACTGTCGCAAATGGCCAGTAAGATAGCGAACCCCAGAATTTGGCTTCATCTGACGAAATTCTCGAACAGCTTGATCCAGGTCTGCATCTGAGATCAGGCTATACTTATAGCTAACATTGTTCTGCTTCAAGTAGGAGCGCAAGGTATTACGATGGATGCCCATGACCTGTGCTAGCTTGGTTTGTTGTAGATGACGACCAGGAGAGGCAAATTCATGCAACAACTGGACATTTGGCACCTTATGAGGTCTCCCTGGTTTGCCAGTGTGTGCGACAGTGATTGGCTGTGGGACTGAAATATTTGATGTTTCACTAGCAATAGTCTAGATATTAGAACTACTGTGGTGAATCTGATAGGCTCACCCTCCTCGTGCTGTTGTTTCAGCCTGCTGTAGCTGCCTCAGTAGCATCCCAAATTTTGCTGTAACCTGAAGGACCCAAGACATAGGGACACCCACTACTGCAGAAGAGTTCTCCAGTGCTCGTAATAGTGGTATGGCATTGTTGCTGATGGCCTCAGCATGAAAACATATGTGATGCAGTTCACTGCAAGTCTGGAGTGCCTGAGATGCATGACGGTAGATATGGAATAGAGTATCATGGGCTTGATGCAGATGATCTGGCCAGACACCTGAGCCATCAGTAGGCTGTGGTAATGGTGGCAGATCCATTGTAGCTCGAGTTAGTAGATCAACAGTGCTTTGACTGATATTTGTTATGTAAACACACAGGTGTTTATCATTGTTGATTCAATATGCGAGCCACAGCGAGTGTCAGGTATGAACACAACTTGAACTTCATTTGAGCTCTATACAAGGCCATCATATACTACTATCCAAAGCTTTCACACTATGAATGCGAATCACAGGTTGGCTCTCCAAAGGCATAGTGAGTTTTGGTTTGAAGATGGAAATATTGTCTTTCGTGTAAGTTCTACTATGAATGTCTGCCGAGCCTTGCTTGAATTTCCTCTACTATAGGCTGGCAATACCTCATTTTGTGTACATCGTGGTGTACTTGTTCGCCACTCTCCAGCTTTGGAAGGAATTTTGGCTATCCCATCAGGTTATGATACCGATGGTACAGAGCAACTTCCGATTGTCCTGCAGCAGATCTCTGAGCAGGAATTCACACATTTTCTCAACTGGGTGTACCACATGTATGTGTATCTACTAGTACAATATCACATAGGCGATGATTAAACTATATCTTCTAGCAGTTCAGTCCCTCCTCCACCTGAGGAGCAATTCCTAGTCGCTATCCTCAAGATTTCGCACCTATGGATGATAAGCAACAGCATCAAGTTTGCTATTGATGGACTCGAAAACCTCACTCTGCACCCTACCCGACGACTAGAGCTTGCACGATTATATTCCATACCCCAGTGGATCGCCCCAGCAATTCGAGAGATCATGACATCATCACTCACGAATACTACAGATAATGAGGCTACACAGATGGGGTTTAAAGTGTATACAATTATCGCCCGGGCAAAAGAGGTGATGGAGCGCGAACGCAGGGCATTAGCTGCTTATCCACCCTCACTTCTTGTTTCAGCATCCTTCAGCTGCTCAGCTCGCTCACATAGCCAGTGTAAGGAGGCATGGTCAGGATTCTGGTGGAAGAAAGTGGCCCGTGCAATTCTCCATCCAAAAAACCCACTTCCACTGACACAGACTCTCCAACTCATCCTTGAGGCTCCACTGCCTAATGGCATGAATGCTGCATGCAGGCAAGCTATGGTTGATGCGATGATAGAGTTAGATGGACTTGAGGTTGAGGAGAGGATTATTGAGGGGGTTATACGAGCAGTCACTTTGTATTTCAGCTCTCTCTAATATATCTGCTATGGGTGTAATGAGAGGCTAAGTGTGAAATGTTATGTCAAAAAAGTCAGCAGAAAATGCCCCTCCAAAAAAAAAAAAACCAACAAGAAATCTGGCAACATGAGGGAGTTGAACAGGCAGAGCTGAATATTATCACAACAACATAATGAAATTTCAACACTGGCAGGAGTTGAACTGCAGAGCAGCTTCCTAGCCAACAGTGACCAAGTTACCACTATAACCAACAACAGAATTGAAATCATAACATTGGCAAGAATTAAACAGCAGAGCAACTTCCTAGCCAAAATCCCACACAGTATCGCAACAGGGACCAGGTTACCACTACACTATCCAGCTGATAATAATGAAGGTGGTAACAGGTATATGCTATCCCAAAAGCACCAAAACTCCGAAAATGCTATAATCAAAATTTTCACCACTGCTGCCCACTGCACTTTCCAACCACCACCATGGCCCTACAACCCACAGATCAGACTCATCTGAGGCAATGTAAGTAATATATTACCGCCACTGTCTAGACTAATATATTGGTGGTGCATAGACTTCGAGCATCTTGCTGGAAATTCAACTGTTATGCATGCACTTCAGATAGGAGCAGATGTTGGGGAGGATCTTCTTGCTTTTGGAGATAAACCAGGCCTTGCAAATTCTGTGAGCATGTTTCTAATGCAGTATCTATGTTAGATCTAACTATTTATGTGTGCAGGTCAGCCATCTGAAGTCCCTAACCACCAAGAATGCTGGATTGGTGCCAGGATCTCTCTACCAAGCTTTAGAGGTATATTTCCTCCAGTGCTGCAGGAGGAAGAATGCAGCTCACTCTGAGAAAAGGACTATTGTGAGTTTTCTTCCTGCTTATCACTGGCTTAGTCTAAAACTGTACTTCATAGGCAAGGGTCCTGGGCCTTCATGCCATCCCACTATTGGCCAAGTCCCTTGCAGACACTGGTACAGTTAGGATGGTCACTCATGACCGTTCTGCTAAAACCAGCTATAAACGGGGTACACTTTTAGTGGACCGTGGCAATGAGGATCTGGTTGGTAGTGGGGATACTGCCCTTTCTGTTCCTGTGGATGATTCGTGGTATGTGATTGAACCAGATGAAAGCATCATTTTTGTCGATTCCAAGGGTATGAATAGTCTTTCTGTCTCCTACATGTGGTTAATTGGGTGTATAGGATCTGTTACACTCACTGTACTCTGCGGCAAGTGTGGCCAGCATCCTGACCTGTTGACTTATGTCAATAGTATCATCGACGAGGCTGTCAATGACCGCAAGGGGACCAGGGTGAGTTTTTCCTCCTTTCAGTTTGATATATTTCTGATGGGCTGGATAGCCTACCCATGGGGGGGAGCTGGTTCAGTTCGGCTGGAATGCTGGTCCTCGTCATGCACATGTCTTTGGTCTGGTGAACAACCTTACCAATAAGAAGAAGCTGTCCATGACTACGAGGCAGCAGAAGGACTCCCGTGCTTTAGGAATTCTGGCTTTGAGCTGGAACTTGCTCGTAGCTAGTCTCCCTGCTGAGGTCAGTACATCATGTATTGAGGCAATTGGTGAGGCAGGCCTGCCTGCCATGACAGTGAAAGGCAATGACTTGGGTGAGTGTCTCACATATGTATAATCTTCATTACTGGTAACTTACATATGATACCTAGACTTTGGGTATACCCTAGACTTACCTGGTGGTCCTCTCTGCTTTTTGACAGCTGAGTGGGCTCCATCTGAGGCATATATGTCACAGAATTATGAGTCATAAGTGGATTGCATCTAATTAGTAATGCCACTTTTTGATGTCGCATCTAGCCCCATTCACACAGACCAACTCTATGCCCCTTATGCGATGAACTGGGTTACTCTTCATGCTATCATGGATCCAGAGCAATGCCAGCTTCATGGTGGTCGTAGTTCTGGTGGAAATTATGTGGATGTCTCCCTCAAGGTAGTGGTGAAATGTGCCACTGACACAGTCATGGTATTTTTGTCTCTCGTTTGCAGCTCCACACTTTAATTCTGCTGACAACTGGTGCCACAGAGTATGCAACCCTGTTTCCAGCATGATACAACCCTTGCTCGAGATGGTGTCTGCAGACAAGGAACTGCCATCAATTTTTCGAGGCACATCAAGCAAGCCTTTGATGAGGCAATTGCAATTGAAGGTGATGTCAAGGCAATGGTTACTCGACTTGTAGAGGAAGAAGAGTGAAATTATGGATCGTATTCAGGTAGTCATCCAGTAGTATACATACTAGTCTACAATTGTCACTCAAGTTTGCCTTCAATAAAGTACTTTTCTGAATTTTTCATACTTTTTGTTTCGGCATGAGTCTTTTGTTTTCGGGGCGACACATGTTGCAGTTTTTGGGGCGACACACAATAGTTTTTGGGGCGACACAATTTCCTTTTTCGGGGTGTCACACAAATTCGATTTTGGGGAGGCACACTTTTATTTTGGGGGGGCACAATAATATTTGTGAAGATTCAGCAGCATAGAAAACTGCCATATCAGGCCATGAGAGGCATGAGTCTCTACACTGTGGTGTTGTACCCATTCTGCCTGTGACAAATAGTTTTAGATATCCTACAGGTGAAAAAATAGTCAATATTTGATGTACGCAACTTCCAATTGTGCCAGGATGGGCATTCACAGATTTCAAAGTGCAAGGAAGCTCTTTAGACCGAGTCATTGTGGATTTGACATGGGCGCATTCCCTTCAGAGTATCTATGTAATGTTATCGCGCGCACCTAAATTGAGCCACATAGCAATTCTGAGATGGTTTTCATCTAGGACACTGAATTCTGACTTACAAGGTGATGCACGAGCAGAACTGAAGCGATTGAATATTGTGGCGAGAGACACCCGGCAGAGATATCTTACATGGGGGAATCCAAAGGACAAAAGAGACAATGCCAGTGATTCTATCTCTTCGGCCAAAGTCAATTGTATGTGAGGAGGTTAGCTAGCACAGAGCACAATCCTCAGTAGGTAGAGAGTGTAGCTGGAATGACGGGACTATGGTGAGTCCTCATAACCAAACGATTTCAAAAGCATGACTCACATTTCATGGGCTCTTGTGATGTCGATCGTAGGTTTTGGTAGTCTTCGATGTCTTGTCAAGACAACACAGCAAAATGTAAGCTGAGGATGAGGGTGGAGCGAAGGAAAGTCTAATCTTGGGGTGTATTTTGAGATTGGGATGCTGATGCGGATAGTTTCTGCTCAATTTTCTATTTGATGTATTAGAATACTTCAGGGTGTTACCAAAAATACAGCATCATACTTCGATAGTGTTTTTGAACCACTGCAAATGCTCCTGCATCTCTTGCGTGACACAGGTGAAGAATCTAGCCAGCAACATGTCAACACTTCAAGTTACTTCACATCGATGATCTATACATACTCCAGAGGGAATGAAGCATGATTCTTGAGATATGCTGCGCTCTGATGCAGGTTTTTAAAGCCCTCAATGATGTTGGTTGCGACAATTGTGTCTTGAACTGCTTGTTCAGTCTTCACTTTCAGGTCCTTGGCGAAGAGAGAGTCCGACTGAATAACGGAGGATACACCAAGCAGCTCCTGAATTGATAAAGTTGGTAACCAAACATACTGGATATATGCAATAAAATGAGGCGCACCTTGTGCAATTCGCGAATATCACCTCTTCCCCCATTTTTCGCTGTTTAAGCTTGTTGCTTATTTGTATATGTCCCTGAATGTGCGAGCTATGTGAAGTAAGTCCTAGGACATGTTAGCACTTATGATTACATCAGCAAATCACTGAACCCTTGTACAAGTGACACAATTTCACAACAAAGTCCCTCCTATACAAGCTTGTCACAAAGCCTTACAGCCTGTACAAACAGTCACAATCTTGACACATTGGACATACTATACAGACTAGACACATTGCACAGTTTAGACATAGTACACACATTTAGATCCAATTCAGTAGTACTACACAGACAATACATGACAGACACAATGTGCAGGCCTAGTAAGGCGCTGCAGCCATTCTATTCAAAAAATGTGACACTGATGATCACAAAAAACTACTATAAAATGATGTTGATATCGTCGCTGCCTGCCGCACTGTCAGAATCGTCCCGAAGCTCACCCATCATCCCCACATCAGCCCATTCCTCTAGCATACTTTCCAGTTCCTGACGATGCTCAGGATTCGTCATCAGTGTGTCAACCGACTTTTGTAGGCCATCAAAGTCAGACCTGCATTTGTCAGCGGACAGGTCGGGGACTTTGTCGGTGCCAGTGTCATGGAACCCAGTTAGAATACCCTTCGCCTGTCAAACACATCAGCAATAGCATTAAGAATAATTTTTAAAAAAACACACGATCGCGCTGACGAGAATGAGCGCATTGACAGGGATCATTTTGCGGAATTCTTCGGTCAATTTGAGGGCCTTTTTGCCGTTACCGTAGTAGAAGTTGATACATGCGTCCTTGAGTACTTGCGAAACGAAATTCTTGTACTTGCCCTAAACAAATCAATGCTTCAGTAAGATGCACCGCCCCACAATGTTACTAACCGATGACGAGTCAGGCAATCGAAGATAGTCGCCAGATTTGATCAACTTCGATGCCACTTTGGTAACATGCTGTTGTATGGCGTCCTTCTGCCTCACATTGGCTTTGGGGAAGATATCGTAGAGTTGTTTCGCAATAGATATGATGATTTTCTTGAGCTCGGTGCGAAATGTGAATAAGTCGTTGCAAAGCTGGCAATGGATCAGTAAGCGTGTTCATGGTCAGTACTCAGGACTCACAAGGCATGACATCTGTGTACTGTACTGTGGGAAATAGCCTTGACAAGGGACATCAGATGACAGCAACACTTATGAATTAAAACATACCATTTTCCATTTTGATCTTCTTTGAATGGTAACTCCATAAAACTGCATCTAAGACTTCTCGCACGAGCAGTAGCGCCTGCTGATGCTCTGGGATAGGATGAGTCAAAACAGCCTGCAAGCACATTTCTAATTTGGCGGCCTGGAGAAATCCTTGCCAACTTGGCAGATAAAACCCGAGTTTTGAGGGATTAGTCTGCTTGTTCATTGGTTTGTCTTTGTACCTTGATTCAGGTGTGGGACTGCAAGTACGGGAGTGAGAATGGCTTGGAACAGGGGTATCAGAACGCAAGTGATTGGATTGAGGGGCTCGCCTGTGTGGTAGCCGCAACAAGGAATGTCCAGGAGATGATCCACTGGATGCACTCCGATGTGAAGATCTTGAGCGAGTGAAAATGGTTGTTGACTGAGTCGGGGAGAATCGCCAAGGAGACGGTCTGTGGGAAGTGTGATCACGACCCCTGCTTGAATGCAGAGACCTTGAGCGAGTAAAGACAGTCGTTGACTGAGTTGGGGAGCGTCGACGAGATGGTCCATGGGAGGTGGGATCACGACCCCTGCTTGAATGCGGAGACATTGAATGAGCAAAAACAGTTGTTGACTGAGTCGGGGAGCGTCGATGAGGAGATGGTCCGCGGGAGGTGAGATGACGACCTCTGCTTGAACGCAGAGACTTTGAGCGAGCAGAGGGAGTAAATGTCGATGTCGAACTCACCCATGGGCAGAACCAGCCTTTGCAGATGGCCCTTTTCGAGGTGCACGCTGGGGAGGCTTGAGGCGAGTGGAAGAAGTATGTGTCTCAGGGGACCGACGACGAGGCATCTGTAGCGTAGCAAATCAGAAACAAGCAAATTGAAAAGTAAGAGCTTACATGTTTGTGTGAATATTGGTGAGGAGACTTCGAACGGGCGTTACATGTCAGAGTGTGGCCGCGAGAGTTCTAGAGAAAGTTAGCAAATATGTGATTAGTTTAAGCAATGGCGCACACTTGATAAACAGGTTGGGGAAGGAGCCTTGCGACGTCCGTTCTTTGCTTGATGATGTTTAAGGACATCAGAAGGGATCGTATCTGTACGCTCATCCTTGTGTCCAGGCTGGGTTTCATCAAATTCCATCAGGTCATCACCATCACCACCTGGGAGTGAATCAGTCAAAGCTGGACCATCGTTGTACTCCCTGAAATCATCATCAGCTGCTCATCTTTCATGTTGCGTCTCGTGTTCATTGGCACTCTTCCCCCACTTGTCAAAATCATCCAAGTCTCCCAAGCCACTATGATCTTCCAAATCCTCCTCTGTGACTTCGCTACCAGCTACCTCGTGATTATGACCGATGGGATGGGTTGCCTGGGACTGGGACGGCTTGAAACCAAACCTATCTGAAGGGCGGGCTATGTGGAGATGAGCGCGTTCACTCTCTGGCCGTGAAGAATCGGGCTCAACAGAACTCTTTGGAGTGCTGGCCTAACAAATGGTTGTTAGTTGGGTACTTTTCACTGAATTTTTGAAGAACTACTGCGACTTTTTGCTTGCGTCCCTTGAGTTGCGAAAGAGCCATTGGATTTTCTTCGGAGTCGCTGATATTGAGATCGTCTGATGCCTTCTTGCGCCTTGTTGGGGCTGTTAGAGTTTTGCCAGTTTTTTGAAGTTGGGCAGCATGACCACTGATACCTCGCGTGGACCGCGAGCTTCGTCGAGTAGGATCGACATTTGCCCGTGCCACCTTGGCCCCCTTCCTCGACTTGTCGCCCGGGGAGCCTTGTCTGGCCCTTTTCCTGGGAGGCATTGAGTGAAGAAACGAAGCTGTAAGGTAGTCAGTTGAGGTAATACTTAAAATGTATTACATAAGCTAATAAGCGCTTGGACCTGTTTTTACAAAGAATGATATCGAGGTCTTAGCTCATGCAGTGATGATGGCATAAAGTATTCTTGTGTTTTGTCTAGGATAAGATAGCTAATAATGAGCCAAAGAAGCATGCCTGCCCTTCTTGCCTTCCAAATAATTGACTGCACAGTTAAACATAATGAATGTGCCGTTAATTCTGCTTCCGATTCTTCCGTTTACTAGAACGACGAGGCTTACTAGGAAGTTCCTCAGTCATGGAGCCAGCACCTGAGCCAGGAAGTTCGTTTGGGCCAACAGATGGCAATGATGGGAGTGGAGGAAGAATCATTTTGTTCTTCTGCCCGGAGTGACGAGGTTGAAGACGAGTCATAGGGCCAGAAGTGGGGGGAGGAGAAGAGGAATGAAATGATGATATCATGGAGCCAGAAGCTGAAGGAGCAACTGTACCCCGGGTAACAGATCACGTTGATGGGAGTTCAGGAGGCAGCATTTGCATTTGCCGCCCCGAACGATGGGGCCAAACACCAGCATCCTGTGTCATAGCTTCAATAGGAGGGGGTGGGAGAGAAGCAGGAGGGAGAGAAGTGGGGTGATGAGGACGCACAGGGAGAGGAAGAGAAGTAGGAGAAGGAGTGGCGACAGATGTCACTGGCAAAAATGCAATGCTTTGCAATGTTGCGGTACCTAGTGAACTTAGAATTCTCTCCAGACCCTGTTGCATAATCTTGAGGATTTCATTGTGAGACAAGTCATGTTCATTGCGTAGCACATCCTCAATTGCCTTGCGCCATTCCTCAAGGATGGGGCGACATGCTCGAAAGTATGGTGTCAGTTCGTAGGGCGGATGTTTCTCTGTGAGAAACTCTTTCTTCAATGATCCGCTAGTCCCGAGACCATCTCCATCCATCATCAGGTAAGCCTTGCGCCACCTAGGGGCATTGACAGGGTGCACTCCTTCGACCGATGCTTTACCACTGGGTCCTTCGTACGTAGTTGTGAATTCGAGGAGGATATAAAAGAGCGACTCTAGGTCGTCAGAGGCTCTGTGGTCGATCATGGATGGACGCGGAATGTCTCCCATGAGCTTGAGAAGACGGCAGGATATGTAGGGTACAGTTCCCTTCAAGGTTGACCCATATGAGATATGTATACACGAAGAATGTATTGAAATATAAATTACAGTACCACGCGAATTGACTGCTGCATTGTTTTTGAGGAATTTGGCGTGATTGAAGTCGATGAAGTAGCCCTTTCCATCATGGATGATTATATTGTTGGGACTGAGGTCGCCGTGTAGAACATTTTGCTGGGTGACTATTGCTTCGTGAGCTGGTGGCGGCTGTCATTACAAAGACCTTTAACAAACACGAAAGAAACTCACCAATGATAAGATCTCGAAAAACATTGACTAGCTCAGGTAAGGACTTGAAGGTCGTCAGCAGAAGCCCACAAGGGGTCAATAGCATGCGACGATGAACCTTATTAGAGTATATCGGTGATTCTGGAAGGTTTTCACTAATGTGTTCGCGAATCCTCTCTGTGCAGTCTGTTTGTCCAGCATACTGGACGTCCCAATATTTTTTGAGACTGACCACATTTGGAATGCCATCGACTGCGTGGAGGAGTGTCACTTCATGATCCAGGTTTTCTGCATCGACCCAACAATCTTTCAATGTGAACTCTGTTCCATGCCAATCTTGAACCCAATAACAAACGGTCCCGTGCGAAAATGGACCACGACTCTTCCATAGAAGGGCCATGATCCAGTACACCTCACTGTCGTTGTCCATTACCCAGCCTTTTGTTCCTTCTGGCATGTGATCTATACCCTCAGGAAGATCATTGTGAGGGTCAGTGGAGCAGAGGTCGGTGCAAACATGAATGGTAGGATCGAACCCAAGGGAAGGTAGGTCTGATAGTGTTATTGCATTTAAGACATCGACGAAATGCACGGCATTGGAATTAATTGGGAGGGGTTGGGAGATAATCATTCCAGAGCAGTCCATATAATGAGCATGGAGCTGGAGGTTTGCAATGCTGAACAAAACGACGAAACAGCGCCACGGCTGTTCTCGCATTATAAGATACCCCTTGGTGGTGACCCCTAGGAATATGGGAATATCTTTTCCTTGAACTAATTCTGACTTGGTGATCTCAATGTTAGTGAGAACATCCGCCCAGGTCTTTTCGCCTGATTCATTTTTTTTCAGCCTGAAGTCCATGAGGACTAAATCAGGCTTGCACGAGTCGGTGGCGTCTGGAATGGGTGTGGTGGCGAATTCGGAGGACCAGTACCGTGGTTCTGGGACGACATTGAAGGGAAGGGGGTTCAGTAAGCCTGATTGGGAGGACTCCTCATTGGCCTTGTGGATGATATTGTGCATAGCATAGTATATGCTCCGCAAGAGGTGCTCCCAACTTTTTTCTTCTGATGTCTTGACAGGATGGTTTGATCTCTTTTGTCCAGCATCGAACAATTGTTGCGATCAGCTGGCATCTGTGTCAAGTATTGAATCTTCATCCATCTCCTCCAGGTCTGTGTCAATCTCATCATTCCCCAGCTCCTGCTGCCGCCTTAACTTCTTCACAGGACCTGAAAAGGCACCATCGAGCCTCCACTGTAGACCAGTCCGCAGTTTCTGTAATAAAGATGCTCCCTGTAAGAGCGCTTGACCTTTTCTTTTGATGTATCTGATGCCTAAGATATCTTCGGTTGTGAGGCCTGATCCCGGAATAAGGATATCCAGGATGGATGATTTCCTGCCTTTTATCCCCTCCTCCCATAAGACTCGTCTGCCTCCTGCAAGTGCGCCATCCCTACCCATAGGTAAGAGTTTGTTTTTCATCAGTAAATCCATATCTTCCTTCAAACGAGGTAAAAAATTGCCACCAGCAGGGATGGAGCTCGTAACTGTCGCCAGCAGATAATGATTGGTGAAAGACAGTGTCGTTGACATGTTGTACACAGCAATGTTGTGCTCGGACCTTGCACAATGCACAATGCCAACACAATGCACAATGATCCACGCTCATTCGTGCGATAGGCTTCTAAATTTATCCCTTAATGGAGCCAAAATATTCTCGAACCAACTGAATGATTGTTCAACGAGCAAATATTGTGAGTACTAATGCTATTATCGTGAAGCATAGTAAATGGCATTGTAGATCTCTTTATCGAAGTATTTATTCAGAAAAAACGAGTGGGAGTAATGTGAAGATGTTGCTTTCGTTAATCGCGCATCCGCCACATCACCAAGTCGAGGGATAATGCTGATGAATGCATGAAGTTGATTCAATGGAATGAAATTACCAACAGAAGAGCCATCAGCATGCTTCGCGCATTTCAGTGTATGCATCTCGGTGGCTGGATCAATTGGCCCAATACTCAAACACTGTACATAGCAGAGATATTGATCTCGCCATTTAATGCGATGTAGATGAGGAATCTTGACTATATGTGAAAACACTTAAAACAAAAGGGGTGCTCAACAGCAAGACCGGGATACGAGACAACGACTCGACCCAAAGGACAACCACTGAGAGAAGTTCCTCGAAATAAAGTGGAGGGAAACTCTGTGAGCTAGGTGGGCGCTAATAGGCGCGAGAAGATAACGCGCGCGAAGGCGCGCGTGCACGAGGCGAAGGCGCGCGAGATGCGCGCGTGAGCGGGAGGTCCGAGAATGCGCGCGCGCGAAGCGAAGGCGCACCTAAAGCGTTAGAGGCAAGATCTTACTGAGGAGTGAGTGCAAAGGTGGAGGATTGACAGGAGGATATGATCAGATAACAAGTGGGGAGGTGATCTATTCACTTTCCAGTACACAAAGATAAGGGAAAAGTAAGTACCAGAACCAAAGGAAACCCTTCTGTATTTAAGAATGGAGAAGGCGCGCTTCCGAGTGCGCTCCCGAACCGAGTAACCATATCAACTCTAATTATAACTAAGTTTAAATAAACTTTCCATAAGTAGCGCGGATGTCGGACCGAAGATTTTATTAGTTCAATGGATAAGATAGAAATAACGCACCAGCGAATCAGTAAGGACATGGGACAGATGGACGGACGATAGCGCGAAGACCTATGAGGAGGCGTGCGAACGCGCGCGCGAAGCGCGCATAGCGCGTGCGTAGGTAAGGCGCGCCTAAGTGCGCGCGAGTTCAGATAAGGCGCGCGCGAGTTCGCGCGAGACTGGTCCTTAGGAGTAGAGCTTTAACATATAGGAATGTATGGTTAAAGGCCGGATATTTGTCATTGAGACGCGCGAGTCTCTACAGCGAGAACCCCGCTGAGCGATTGGACATACGATAACACATAACTCACAGATTGCGTGACCTTCGAAGGGTGCATCAATTTTGTATAGGTGAATAAATATATGCAATGAGAATGTGCTTACCTGTTAGGCCTGATTTTGGCCATTCAGCGGCTCCGTCTATATTAACCAGGACAAAATCCCATCGGCCTTTGGGCCATCCAGGGCCCGAAGGAGAGGCATGTACAGTCTGTGCTGGTAATACGATGCTAGAATCGTGAAAGGATGTTTGCTGTAGACGAACCGAATGCCAGACTTGAACGCGATCGAATGGAATGATTGGAGGATGATCAATCAACAGTCTCCTTCTTGAAGTGACCTCATGAACTATTCCTCTCCCCCTCGCGTCACGCTGCAAGAAATCTGAAAGCGCGAAGTGCAGATCCAGTATATTGTAGTCAACAGAAATGTCCCCAACTTTGACTCCGTTACAGGATGGATCATAGTTGAGATGGATAGCAGTGGTACCACCTATAAATGTTCGAGGGGGGTAAGTGAGTTGTCTGTGGCTGAGGGTATCAAATTGTGTGGCTTTGCTAAAATAATTTGTAGTAATGCGTGTTTGATTCATCTCCTCGAGGAGGGCAGTCTGTGGATCAGATAGCTCCCATTCATCATGATCAATATTGTCTTCTTCCCCTTCATTCTCCTCAGCAACGTCTACAGGATTGTAGCTTTTGAGAGTTGTAGCGATCGTGAAACGTCACAGTTTCTCCTGACGATCCAGATAGCAACATATCTGTGGGTCATAATTGTTATTGTTTGTGTGTCGCACAGGGTCCTTAATTTCAGACACATGGGCATGTTCAGTTGCGTCTGCAGACCACTGGATGAGGGCGCCAACTTTGCGTGTACTGGACGTGATGCTCTGCAGGAGCTCCAACTTAGGGATGAACCAATTGTTGATCGGCTTCTTTGCTCCCATCCGTGCACCTAATGTCATGATAACATTCTTGTTTTCATGAAACGTCAAAAGGGATTGGTCGATAGACGACAGTAAGTTGTTGTCAGGTGCAGGGCACTGTGCCAAGTACCGGACATCCATGAGGGCGCGTATTGCAATCATGAAGCGACAAGGAGCTACACCAGATATCAGGCCAACAATGTAGTGCTGAATGTTGCGATGAACTCTGCCTGTGACCTGCTTGAGTTTTGAAATTCCACCCACAAAGTGGCGATATCCTGTGATGGGCTGTAATATAGAGAACCTGAAATCTAGCTCCTGGGCGCCAACAACCTTGAGACACCACTGAAGGTCGTGGTCATAAAATTCCTTGTGCCAGTGATGTAGTGGTTCTGGCATCAGGAAGATGGAGGGATCAGCGTGGGGGTAGCCCTTCCAGAAAGGTGCATGAACACCATTTAGCTGGTGTTCAGCGCATGCCTCAAAATATGCCTCGAGATCGTTGGGATCAACTGTGATACTGGCAAGCTGAGCGAGAGTTATCGCATGCGTATGAGCGGGGTGCCGGAAATGATCCCCAAACTGTAGATACAAAGCCATGGTGAAAGGAGATGTCTTCCCTCGCATGCACGCAAGCATGGCTGCCTCTGGGGTATCGATGATGTATGCTGCAAGAGGCGTAAAACAGTGTCAAACATTTCCCACCGGATCGGACATCATGATGCCAACTTCTGCTGCTATCATCAAGGGCTTTAGGACAATCGAAAGGCACTTGTGCACCAGGCGGTCTTCAAGCATGCCACGCATCCATTGGTTGGGGTGTAGGTACTTCGGAATGGGGAGGAGAGCCGTGAGCATGAATGCTTTGGATGAGAGTTTCATACAAGTACACATACATATGTTGGCGAGGCCGAGAAGAAGTGGATGGGTGATCCTGGCACCAGTCATGGTAGTGATATTTGTTTTATCAGAAGATAAAACAGCACCGAGGATCGTAGCACCTATAGGATATTGGCTCTGCAGGAATGATAATAAGACAGCGCAAAATGAGTAGACTGAACCCACACATACCTGCGTGTCCCAAGCAGAATTACCTGTCAACCATTCAGAATATACCCTCAGAAGCTGTGCTGCCGTTTTATACATGCGACAAGGGACGAAATTGAGCTTATCATGAAACAGAGGATTGCTGAAAAGGCTTTCCAGGCATTCAACGGGATCTCTCTAGAATAAGCGGATAGGAAGTTTTGTAGAATAAATTGAGGGAATGGTCTGGCATTTCCAGCTTGGTCCGCTGGGGAGCATCTCGGCACGACTACGCAATTCTCTAGCATTGCTGAATGATAGCTGTAAATTTTGGATCTGAAAGATAAGTTATAGTCACTGTGTCAGAGTACAAATACATACCATGCGAAGCTTCAAAAATTCATCAATTGCTGCCATACTCAGGGACGAGCGAAGGAGATAGTCAGCAACTTCCCATTCCTCCTTGGATGCAAAAGGGTAGAAGAGATTGTCCTTCCTGTACTCCGCAAATTCATCAGCATCGAATACATCCAAAAAGGTCAAGCCATCTTCCAAATAACAAGCCCCGGCACCCTCATACTTCTCCTCCAAAGACTCCCTGGCCACTCCAAAATCATCGTCAAGTGAACCAAAGTCATCGCCGATGTTCGAAAAGTCGTTAAATTGTTGTTGATCCTCGATGCGAGTATCTGGGTCAGGTTCTGGAGCTGAAGGTGAAGGTGAGACATCGCGCTGTGGTAGTTGCACCTGCGTAAACTGAGAGATATCGACTATGTCACGCATGTAGCTGTGGCATGACGTTCGGGGCTGACTGAGATGTCGAGTAACACTGCTTTCCTTGGTAAATGTTTTCCCGCACTTTGGACATGTTGACATCAGATTCAGACTCAAGAATTCGCATGTGCAAAGTTGCAATGTATTCGGTTTTACTCTGTCATAATATTTGTCACTCAGTATCCATATCGCTTACATATCATTCATGAACTCTCACAGTTTCCACTTGGAAAGCTCTCCTCAATCTTCGTTCTCTGATCACAGTCAGTGTCAGACTGTTCTTCTCAACACATCTCCCAATCACCTCAGATCCATTCAAAAACCTCGCCAGCCAATGACCAATTTTTCGCCGCACACCTCATTAAGCTCAATCGGAGGGGAGGCTCGTTTTCTTATGAATACTCACCTTGTAAGGCTCAATTATTCTTTGCAGTACATTATCCTTACTCGTCTTTGGCAGGATGTAAACTACTCTTGATTCGAGTCCAAAGGTGACTCTGACCTCGCCCTGGAGGCAGCTAAAGCGAAACGGAAAGTATGTGAGGTGGAGAAACATCTGGCCGATTGCATTCTGGAACATCAATCTATACTCCTCGACCTGTGGTGCCGTTGTACGGAGGTGGCAAACTGCCATTTATTGAATGCGGATCTCAACGTTGGATGCATGCACATGGAGCGCAAGAAGAGTGGTATTGCAGCATTACGCTCGCTCAGACTCAGGTTTAATGGTAAGTGCTCATTTGTTGGTTTCATTATAACTTATCACCATTGAGATGGTTGCAGACAACCTCTTGACATTCATCTTTGTCACACACAATCCTGGCCGCATCAAAATTTTTATTTTTTTCGCACTTCTATTATGATATTATCTCGAGCCTACTAGTATATACTTTGTTATGTTTTTTGTCTGTTTGTGCTGCTTGTCGGCTTGTGCTGTTTGTGACGCTTGTGTAGATATTTTTAATGCCAAACACTTGTCGGCTTGTGTGTTTGTGACACTTGTGTAGATCTGTATCCGTTTGTTATTGTTGTGACACTTTGTCATGAAATCAGTAGTTTGCTGATGCCTAGCGTACTCGATAGTTTCAAATGTCCTCTTGATATCATCCAGAAGATCATTAAACTTCGTAGATTTTGAACATCTTTGTCATTCTCGAACCCTCATTTGAAATCTTTGATTTCACACTTGCATTCATTCTGAATTTCTGACCGTGACTTTGTGCTATTAAATGATATGGTACGTGGAATCATGTATAACAGTCTCCTACTACTCTACTGATACAATCCATCTATCCATCTGTCTTCTAAGCCCAACCGTCTGTTGTCACAGCTGCATCTACCTGTTGTGGGGGCCGCACGTAGTATCTTCAGGTTGCTCGGCATTGTGTGACCATGACATACCCTTGTTGGGTAGCAGAGGAATCTTGGGAGGAATCTGCTTTACAGCGTTTACATTAAGTAATCGTAATTTTTTGCAGATAAACAGACTTATATCCAGTTCATATGTACATCTGCATGCCGGACAACAGATCATCACATGTTCTATGGACCGCTCACTGCGACTATGGGACCCAGAGAGTTACAGACAGATAGGAGAGGACTGGCGAGATGAAGAGGATGAGTCAGGAGTATGGTCCATGACATTGTCTCCAAACGGCAAGACAATTGCAAGTGGATGTAATGATGGGAAAGTCAGGTTATGGGATGTCGAGACGAGGAAGGTTATCGCCAAATGGTCAGGACACAGCAGATTTGTGGGTGCATTGTGCTGGAGTGTGGATGGTAAACGAGTGCTGAGCGGATCCTGGGATGGGACAACAAGAGTCTGGGATGTCAAGAGCGGTAAAACTGTCCTGACAATCGAAACCAGGCACTGTTGGGTGAACGTGTTAATCTACTCGCCCGATGGAGCGAAAATTGCAACCGGTGGAGATGATGAGAATGCAGTCAAAATCTGGGATGCCAACATGGGCGAGCTATTTGATATGCTCAAACACAACGATCCTGTTTGGAGCTTGGCCTGGATATCGGACAGAAAGAAACTTATCTCTGGTTCATATGAACGAATTAGGATATATCTGGGAGGTGTCACATTCTTGGTCAAAGCCATCACCTTGTTTCAGAATGACCACCTTCTATGTGCATCAGATAGTAAAACAGTGCACCTGTGGAATCTCAAAAACAACCTCCCAGTCGGTCCTCCTCTCCACCACGAAGATTATGTGCAATGTGCAGCCATTTCCGCGGATGGAAAGCTGCTAGTCACTGGCTGCCGAAATGAAAATGTGTACATGTGGGACATTCAAGCCATCCTCAAGGGAGCTGGCCTTGAAGGCCTCCTTCGACCTTCATCTGGTGTAAAGCTTATGGTTCTTTAGTCAAAACTGTGCTAATATCACATTAATATTTGCAGGTTACAGTTCAAGGGTCATTGATGGATGTACATGATTTGTTTCTCAACCTTCCCAACCATTGTAACCTAGATATTCTATTTAGGCGGATGCTACGCAGGCCGTTGTAGAAGAGGAATCTTGGCTATAGGTGAAGACACTTAAAAATAATGGGTGCTCTACAGCAAGACTAGGATACGAGACAACGACTCGACCCAAAGGACAACCACTGAGAGAAGTTCCTCGGAATAAAAATGGAGGGAAACTCTATGAGCTAGGTGGGTGCTAACAGGCACGAGAAGGTAATGCACGCGAAGGCACGCGCAATGCGCGCATGAGCAGGAGGTTCGAGAATGTGTGCGCGCGAAGCGATGGTGCGCTAAGAGCGTTAAGGGAAAAGATCCTTAATGAGGAATGGATGCTCAGATGATAGTTGATAGAAGGATATGATCTGATTTCAAGCAGGGAGGTGATCTATACACTTTCCAGTACCCAGAGATAAGGAGAAAGTAAGTACCAGAACCAAAAAGAATCCCTCTGTATTTAAGAAGGGAGATTTCACTATGCGGCGCGCTTCCGAACTGAGTAACCATATCAACTCTAATTATAACTAAGTTTAAATAGACTTTCTATATGTAGCGCGGACATCGGACTGAAGATTTCGTTAGTTCAATGAATGAGATAGAAATAATGCACCAGCAAATCAGTAAGGACATGGGACGAATGGACGGACGGTAGCGCGAAGACCCAGGAGGAGGCGCACGAACACGCACACGCATTGCGCGTAGTGCGAGCACAGGTAAGGCGCGCCTGAGTGCGCGCGAGTGTACCTAAGGCGTGCGAGTGCGCGCGAGACTGGCCCTTTGGATTGGAGCTGGATCATATAGGAATGTAGAGCCCCTTCAGTGACAAATTCCGTATTATATGGGCCACCCGACCTCCATAATATCCCGTATGAGACAGGCCAGCTGATCATGGGCCCATGTTGTGTATATTCTCGATGATGACGGATGGGCCGGGACACATATTATTTCTGATGGAGACGGGTGGGCCCATGTATGCCAATGATATATATCCTTAATGTTGACAGATGGGCCGGGGGAATATGATCATTCATGGAGATGGGTGGGCCCATCTGGGTAATATGTAGAGTAGGATATTATAGACAGCTGGGCTGAAGAGAGATGTAAGGCAAATATTGTTATATAGACGGGCGGGCCGACGTGGGTGTATTACATATATGGGTGGGCCGAGGTAGGGAAATATTACATAGACGGGTGGGCTGACGTAGGGTGTATTACATATACAGGTGGGCCGACGTGGAATGTATTACATATACGGGTGGGCCGACGAAAGGGATATCAAATAGACCGGTGGGCCGAGGGTGCGATAAAATATTTATTACATAGACAGGTGGGCCGAGGTGGGGTATAATTATATAGACGGGTGGGCCGATGCAGGATGTATTATATAGACGGGTGGGCCAACATAGGATGTATTACATAGATGGGTTGGCTGATGTGGGGGATAATACATAGATGGGCGGGCCGACGGGGGTGTATTACATATATGGGTGAGCCTAGATATGTTCCATCAAGACATACAGCTGATGTAGCCACCAGCGAATCAAACACATAGGATACATGTACACTATCAGTGCATATACCTACCATCAACCACCAAATCTAAACCCCTAAGCACAAAAACATGAATCTATCATGTGTGGCATTGACCAATAATCCAGGACTGAAGTGGAAAAACCCCACACCTGAACCCTGGTGTGCAACAAATCCTATTTCTAAGCATGGACACCAGAAGCACAACACTCACAAAAATATATATGTCAAATTTTCAGTGCCAAACCCCAAACCGAGATGTACCAACCCCCGAAACCCGAAACCCGAGACTGCCGGGTCTCAGGTATCGGGTGTCCGGAACTCGGAACTTGGGAGAATTTGGGGAGATCAATACAATTTAATTTACAATCGAGTTGATTGACAACACATTGACTTACCCATGTTTGCAATATATTTTTGTTTAGACATACCGAGTTCCGAGTTCTGGACACCCGAACCCTGAAACCCGAGACTGCCGTGTTTCGGGTGTCGGGTGTCCGGAACTCGGAACTTGGGAAAGTTTGGGGAGATCAATACAATTTGATTCACAATCAAGTTGATTGACAAACACATTGACTTAACTATGTTTGCAATATATTTTTGTTTAGACATACCAAGTTCCGAGTTCCGGACCCCCGGACCCCGAGACTGCCGGGTCTCGGGTATCAGGTGTCCGGAACTCGGTATGTCTAAACAAAAATATATTGCAAACATAGTTAAGTCAATGTGTTTGTCAATCAACTTGATTGTGAATCAAATTGTATTGATCTCCCCAAACTTTCCCAAGTTCCGAGTTCCGGACACCCAACACCCGAAACCCGGCAGTCTCGGGTCTCGGGTATCGGGTGTCCGGAACTCGGAACTCGGTATGTCTAAACAAAAATATATTGCAAACATGATTAAGTCAATGTGTTGTCAATTAACTCGATTGTAAATTAAATTGTATTGATCTCCCCAAATTTCCCCCGAGTTCCGAGTTCCGGACACCCGATACCCGAGACTG